ATTATAATTTATAATGTAATTCTAAATATATTTAACAATTATTAATAATGTACAATATATATGTTTATATTACAATATTATATTTTAAGCATCAGGACAACAGCTCTGACTAACCATCTTCCATCATAATGTACCGTTACCGCATATTACATTCTGATATACATGATACTGTACGTACTAATCAATATCATTTACTTGCATTGATCGTTGTTCCATGATGTGTAAACGACATTCTTGCATTGCATGTACGGTACAGGATACTGTACACTGTTTGCTCATCATAGGTCAAACACTATCCATAAAAGACATGCAGAAATGAGACGATTTGTGGGATTTTTGCGAGTTTTGTACAGTTCTAGTTGGCATTTCCATCCAGACTGGCTTTTGTTGAAATATTTGTGTTCATCATCATCATAATTGGTCCGTGTTGTAGTCTTCTGAGACAGTCGTTATCATAGTAACACACAGTTGAGTTTCTCACAATCACTGAGCACATGATTTACACACAAACCGTGTTCAGCCTTCAAAATGAAACACCAAAAGCGTCTCAAATGTGTTTGTGTGCACGTCTCTCATGTCTCTCACCCGTCTAATGTTTGTCTTGTGTGTTTGTGCTCTTCATGCTGCGCTCTCTCTCACGTCTGAAGGCTTTGACAGCATAGCCGGCTCTCTGCGTCTCTCTCCAGTGACCTCGCCCTACAGCTCGCCCTCCCGCTCCCCTGTCCCGTCCATCTTCTGAGGCCACGCCCCCACGCTCAAACACAGCCAAAGACTCCGCCTACTGTGGGCGGGGCTCTATTATGTAGCAATTATGATGTTCCATACATAACTGTATATAGAGTGGTATTAGAAAGTTTATCAGAAGAAATATTGGGGCGAATCTCACAAAATCATAATACAAAAAATTATATTTTGCTTAATGACAATGAAGCCTGTGACATTTCAATTAAACAATTATTAGTACTGTTAAAATTTGTTTTCTTTGTAATTCCCATTATTCTTAGTGATGCTTCTCTCTAAATTATTATTTAAGTAGTATAGTTTAAAAAAAATTTTTTTTTAAATGAACATAAATCAGTTATTGAATTAAGTTATTAAATTACATAAATTACTACCATGATGCATAACTATTTCACAATTTAAATTTTAAATATATATTGTTTTACTGTAATGAAAATTAGATTTTTTTAATATACATTACTACCATAATCCATAATTACTTTACAACTAAATTTTTAAATATATATTGTGTTACAGTAATGAGAATGGATTTTTTTTTACATAAATTACTTCCATGATGCATAATTATTTCACAATTTACATTTTAAATATATATTATTATATTACAGTAATGAAAATAGTTTTTTTACATAATTATTTCACAATTAAAGTTATATATATATATTATATATTTAATATATATATATACATGTATATATATATGCATGTTTACAATTTAAATTTTAAATATATGTTGTGTTATAGTAATGCAAATATTAATTATATTTATTTACAAATATCTAAATAATAAATTAAGAAAATAAATTTTGCCTACAGAAAATGAAAGCAGACATTACTTCCGCTAATTAGAGCCAGGTGATTAAATTGAAGGGGTTGAATAATTACAAATAATTAAATGCATTTTTATAAAACGTGCCATTATGAATTGTGCACAGGAATGTGTATTTAGGAGTTTTGATTTCATGTTGATTTGATCTCACTCTGTTGATGAAAATTATGAGTCATATATTTATTTTCATGCTTGCAAAAACATTCATAGTCATAACTAATTTAACACATTGTCTGATTGAAAGTATTCCATCATTCATTATTAACTACAGGGTTGATTCATATGTGCAGTGTGTGTTTAGCTAATGCTAATTCTGAGATGTAATTCAGAGATTTGTCCTGAGCATCATGTGAGTCAGTCTGGAAGGGACGGTTGCTAAGCAACACTGCTATAGGGAGATTTTGTGTCACGCATCCTCGGCATAAACTTCATTTAGCACTTTGTGTCCACACCCTGAACAAATACACAACCGCAAATGCTGTTTGCTCACTGTGCACGTCCTGTAAATCACTGGATATATGCATTATATATGTATGTGTGTATTAAGAGAAATATGATGTTAGGGTGAATCTCACAAAGAAATATCCATGTCAGATTTCATCCCAAAATCAAAAGAAAAAAATTTGTGTTCAATGTTTATAAGCACGTTTTCTTTAATGTAGAATTTTACTGTAATGCATAAAATCTATTACTGCCTGGACACAATTATTATATTTTGTATTATTAACATGTACAATTATTCATTCATATGTGTGTATATATATATATATATATATATATATGAATGAGTAATTGTGCATATATAAAGAAGAAATGGCAAATATTGAAGATTTTGTGTGATTATATAGACACAGAATACTGAAAAATGTATGCATAAAAATTTGAATTTCCATATAAAAATTGAAACCTCTTTTATTGAATTGCATCTTGTTAATGACAAGTAAGCACTTTTTTTTTATGTAGAAAATAACTACAAAAAATACTGTCAAAATACATTATCTCAACGCAATTACCCTTTTTGTTCATGCAACATATAATGTCTTATTTTTATTGAAAGATGCAATATATTTTGTCTAAAAAAAGTTTGTCTAAAAATTTTTCTTTTTTAAAGAACAAATGTCAAATATTGAAGCTTTTGTGTGATTTATATAGACACAGTACTGATAAATGAATACATAAAAAACAATTATATTTTGCATAATGAAAATTAAACCTATTTTTGCATTGCACATTATGTTAATGACAGTTAAGCACATTTGCTTAAACATAGAAATTAACTGTAATGCATAAAATCTCATTACACAAAGATTTGATTATATTTGTTTTGTAAATATTCAGTACCAAAAATTTAAATCTCAACAGTCGTAAAAAATTATTAATTTCCCTTTTTTATTCATGCAAAATATATATATATTTTTTTTTTAGGGTGATAATTGACCCAGACATTTGTTTGACATTATTGATTAGATTAGCCAGTTAAAAGATGCAATCTATTTTTGTCTAAAAATGTTTCGTTTTTTGTTTTGTTTTGTTTTTTTAAAGAACAAATGGCAAATTTTGAAGCTTTTGTGTGATTTATATAGACACACAATACTTATAAATAAATGCATAAAAAAACATTAAGCAATTATATTTTGCATAATGAACATTAAACCTATATTTAATTTTTGCTTTGCGTGTTATGTGAATGACAATATAGCACATTTTCTTTTATGCAGAAAGTAACTGTAATGCATAAAATCTCATTACACAGTGATTTTATTGTATTTGTTTTATTAATATAAATTCAGTACAAAAATAGTCAAAATTCACGTACAAATCTTAATTGCCCTGGTTAATTTCCCTTTTTATTCATGCAAAAATATATATTTTTTTTAATAATTTTTGGTTGATTTTTGTCCCAGATATTACTCATGAGATTCACCTGTTAAGATGCAATATATTTGGTCTAAAATAGTTTCTTTTTTAAAAAAAAGAAGAAGAAAGAAATGGCAAATGTTGACGCTTTTGTTACGCAATTCTGATGCACGGGATGTTGTTGCGTTTGCAGCTACTGTATCACCTCTGGCTGACGTACAGTTTATATCGGCCAGAGACGGGGAAGGCGGGGCCAGCAGAGACTCAGATGGATTTGATGAATTGGATTGGACAGTCTGGAATAGAATAAGCCTGTGATTGGACAGTTCTGAAAGCGGACGCTCTGTGAACAGAAAAGCACACTTACGGATCGATCGGACTGCTCACGACATTTGGAGTTTCCCGTTTATTTTCGGTGTGGATACAGACTGAAGCCAGTCGGCGCAATGAAAAAAAAAAAATCACGATATGGATAGTGAAACGTTTCCTGCTTAAAACGAGTCGGCTCTCCATTTAAATGTCGCATCTGTATAAAGGACACACATCCACCTGTGGCTTCCCCTCTGTGACAGGTAGCAAATCAAACACCCCCTCGAACCCCCTTCCAAGGCCTCTGTCGTTGCAATAAGTGTATTAAGATGTGTAGAGGCACAAGTGTTTAAAAATGAAGTATTAGTGTATCGACTATACTAAACTACAGAGTAGAGAGAAAGTAAACACGATAAGTTTAATAAATGTGACCTTCAGTCATTTATGTTTTTATTTGCTCTAGTATCTCTGGTGGATTCATTGTTGTCTTTGTGTGTGTTTGTATGTGGGATGTTGATCTCAAATGGGACACTTAAAGGAATAGTTAAGCCAAAAATTAACATTTACTCACTCTCAGCCCATCCAAGATGTCTTCATCAGATTTGGAGAAATGTAGCGTTGCATCACTTGCTCAGCAATGGATGCTCTGCAGTGAATGGGTGCCGTCAGAATGAGAGTCCAAACAGCTGATAAAAACATCACAATAATCCACAAGTAATCCACACCACTCCAGTCCATCAGTTAATGTCTTATGAAGCAAAAAGCTGTGTGTTTGTAAGAAACAAATCCATCATTAAGACGTTTTTAACTTCAAACCGTCGCTTCTGGCCAAAATATGAGTCCATACGCAGGAAACAAATTTAGGTTATAAAAATGTTGTTTCTTTTGAAATGTCTAGTTTTCTTGTCGTGATTAGAACGTTAATGTCTACAAAAATGTTTCATATAGCATTCTAGTAACTTCCACCCAAACGTTATTTGAACATTTTAATGTTATTATTATAAGAATGTTCAGTTTTCTTGTCGCAATTATAACATTATTTAAAGGTTTCAAAAATGTTCCTTACAACATTCTACTAACTTCATTTTCACCCAAAATATAACATTACTTGGAACAGATGCAATGCTACATTTCTCTAAATCTGATGAACAAACAAACTCATCTACATCTTTGATGGCCTGAGGGTTGAGTGCATTTTCAGCAAATTTTCATTTCTGGCTGAACTAGTGCTCTACAGACCTCATGAAATGACTTAAAAGCACAGTTTTCTTTGACTTTTTAAAATAACCACTATGCTTTCATTTGCACAGGTGTGTTGACCCCAACTTTGCTTATAGTTGCATATCAAGCTAAAATCTTTGAAGGAATTTTAACATTTAGACCTAAAATGTGTGTTTTTTAATGTATACATCTAATGAAAAGATCATTTTGTCAGGTTTTAATGTAAGTGAGCAGATATGAAGCCACAAAACCTCGTCATTTGAATGTCATGCGGTCTTTGAATGTGTGCTGATTTTTCGCAGTTCTCTTGCTCCTCCCCGTTTCCTGGAAAATTCGCCCAGTGCAACAATCAGATGTGATGTGCAATAATGATGTGAAACAAAGCTGCACCGATTCACACTGTGATTTCAGTTCAGTCCGTGACAGACGCCGCAGCAGAGCCTCTGAAAACACAAGCGCGGCACGGACACCTTCGCTCTAATTAGATCCTTTCTTTTCCTTCAGCATTGGAGAGATTAGAGCTGTCACATCAGTGTGTGTGTGTGTGTGTGTGTGTGCGCGCATGTGTGTGTGTGCGCGCATGTGTGTGTGTGTGTATGTGTGTGTGTGTATGTGTGTGTGTGTATGTGTGTGTGTGTATGTGTGTGTGTGTATGTGTGTGTGTGTATGTGTGTGTGTGTATGTGTGTGTGTGTATGTGTGTGTGTGTATGTGTGTGTGTGTATGTGTGTGTGTGTATGTGTGTGTGTGTATGTGTGTGTGTGTATGTGTGTGTGTGTATGTGTGTGTGTGTATGTGTGTGTGTGTATGTGTGTGTGTGTATGTGTGTGTGTGTATGTGTGTGTGTGTATGTGTGTGTGTGTATGTGTGTGTGTGTGTGCGTGCGTCTCATGAAACCTGTCAAGAACATGTCCAGGTCACATTTCACTGCAAAATCAAAAGAATTTTAATACAATTATATTTTACATAAATAAAATGAAGCCTATTTTAGGACCAATACGATTTTTTGCCATTTTTACATTCTATTCAATGTGCACATGAGTAAAATACACTTTTACAATAAAAATAAATAAGTATACCACCATTCAAATGTTTGAGGTTGATAAGATTTTGTAATGTTTTGAAAGTCTCTTGTGCACTCCAGGGCTGCATTTATTTGATCAAAATACAGTACAAATTCTGAAATATTATTCCAATGTAAAGTAACTATTTTCTATTTGAATATCTGTTAAACTGTAATTTATTTCTGTGATCAAAGCTGAATTTTCAGCATCTTTACTCCAGTCTTCAGTGTCACATGATCCTTCAGAAATCATTCTAATATGCTGATTTGCTGCTCAAGAAACATGATTTTTATTTTTGTGGAAACTGTGATGCGTTTTTTAGGAGTCTTTAATGAATAGAAAGTTCAAAAGGACAGTGTTTATTTGAAATAGCAATCTTTTGTAACATTATAAAGTCTTTACTGTCACTTTTGATCAATTTAATTGAATGTGATCTTGCTGAATAAAAGTGTTGGTCTAAAAAAAAAAAAAAAAAGAAAAGAAAGAAAGGTCATTTTCTATATGTAAAATATATATTTTTGGGGATTTTGGGTTAAATGTGAGCTGGACAAATTCTTGACAGGTTTTTGTGTGTGTGTGTGCGTGTGTGTGTGTGTGTGTGTGTGTGCGTGCGTGTTTTCCCACCACCCACAGAACTTAAGAGGATAGTATTCTTCATTTTAATATTATCTGCTGCTTTAAGAAGTCAGGGCACCGTTTCAAATATATATGACAAAAATGTGAAGGTATATATATATTTTTTTGAACTTAGATCTTGTATTTTTGTGTCTCTTGAAGAGTCTCATTGTCAGTCCCGTGGTGTATCTGTATGTCCACTCTGTGCAGACTGTGAATCTGGAGTGTTTTTATGTTTCAGTGATTGGACTTTTGAACATTGTGGAGTCATTTGTCGGCCTTTTGTAGTTCATGCAAAACCCATGGTCAAAATGTAAAGACTGCGTCTGAAGAATATGTACAGTTCAATGCAATGTGAGACAGTTGGATAAACATATTAACCTTGTAAAAAAAACAAACAAACAGCTTTCTTTTCTTTCTGTTTGAAACACACCGCATCGCCTGGACCGCCCAGAGGAGAATGATATTGCTCAGATGTTGCTCTTTCATGTCTCAGGGCTCCAGACAAAAAAAATCTATTAAGGGGGGAACTGAGGTTCACTTAAAATAGGAACTAAACGGTCACAAAGAATTGTTTATTACACAGAATCTGTGCCAATATCTCAGACCATAATTATGTCAGCATCATTTGGCCATTGAGTGTAGTTTGGGCTCCTGCTCAATGCATCCTATAAATGCTGTCATATGCTTTGCACACATCCAGTCTGTATTTCTCAGAGGTGGACAGTAATGCAGTACATTTACTTGAGTACTGTACTTAAGTACACTTTTTGAGTGTCTGTACTTTACTTGAGTATTATTTTTTCTGGAAACTTGCTACTTCAACTTCACTACATTTGAAAGACAAATATCGTACTTTTTACTCCGCTACATTTATATCAAGGTCCCCAAGTAGAAAGTCGTTATATGTAGCAGTTTTTCCAGTGTGTGCATTTATTCACTGAACCCTTTTTTCTGTGAAAATCCGGCCTGCGATCTGCAGTTTTCCGTATAGCTTTGAATGGATGTTTGGCTGATTTTGGCAACCTCGGGACCTTCCCCGCTAAACTAATGTAAACGTCTGCGCTACTGCACAGCTAAAAGTGCTCTAAAAAGGCAAATATGATAATAAAAGACGAAAAAGGCACATATTAGTGTGGTGTGATCATCTGTGTGCTCACCACATTGATTTTAAATAGACAACTGTATGTGAAGCCTTACGTAGGCCGAGCGCTACGATCAAAGATCATAGAAGATAAATGATCGGCATACGGTAAATAAAAATTATTTGCATTGCATTCTTTCTTATGTAGACAACAGGTTAAATAAAAATATGAATAAGCAATATAGCACATATATTTAGCAAAACACTCCTCTTTATAATTATTTTTCTAGCTGACTAATGAGCTAATGAATGCCGAATGGTTATTCTGAGATAAATGATTGTTACGTGGCATTGTTTACAAGCTTTACACGTATTCCGCAGTTTGAAACACTGAATGAGCTTTTACATGAGACATTTCAGTAAGTTGTACCTTTTGATGTTCATTCATGTTTATTTCATACTAGAATAGTAAAGAGAAAGATCTGATGGGTTCACGTGCCGCTTGAACTGAGGCGCTACAGCGATTGCTCATGCCGCATTAAAGAGCGCCAAAACTGCATTTATTGTTTGAATTACATTATTAATTTGGCATAAAGCTTTTAAAGCTGATACTTTATTTATATTAAAAGGTAACGTATCACAAAGCTTATTGCGATTATTGGACGGCAAGCACGTTACAAATAATACGAAGTTCACTCATTAACAGAACACAGCAAATAGACTAAAGATCTTTGACATGCACATTTTTAAATTACAAAATGTAAATTTATGTAGTCATCTCAGCAAAAATATCACTCACAAATTAATATTTTTGCTCCCAAATGTGACCATTTTAGGCGCAGTCTGGAGCCCTGTATCTAAGAGTTTTCTTTCAACTTTGCCTCATATGTTTCTATGGAAGCCTGTTTCCACAACAGAATAAAAAAAAAAAGTAAAAAGGCAAACGGGACTTTTTGTCTCACAATTCACTTTTTTTCAGAATTGTGAGATGTCAAGTCAGAATTGTAAGATATAAATTAAGAACTTTCTTGCAATCTGGAGAATCGAGAAATTCTGACTTTACATCTCACATTTTTGACATTTTTTTCGCTGAATTGTGACTATTTCTTGCATCTCGCAATTCTGACTTTACATTCTCAGTTTACATCTTGCAAGTGTGACTTTCCATTTTGCAATTCTGACTTCTCGCAGTTGTTTGTTTATATCACAATTCGGTTTATATCTTGCAATTCTGAGAAAAAAAGACTGAATTTTGAGACAAACTCAGAATGGTGAGAAAATAGTTAATTGTGAGTTAAAATGTCGCAATTAGATTGATTTTTTTTTTATCCCGTGGAAACAAGCTTCCATATGTTTCTCTTAAAATTCATGAGAAAGGAAAACAGACACAAATGAGTTTTGACATACAGTAGAGAGTGAAGATGAAGATAACAGCTCAGATCATTCAATGTTTGAGTAATTGTTGAGATCTGACAGATGTGTGTGATTTCAGGGGTCTTTTTCATCTGAGAAACATCTGAGAACTTCAGCAAAAGTCATTTGCTTTGCATTTAACCTCATTGCTTTCTTGGAGAC